GATTTACAGTAGGAATTTACAGGTTCTTTAAGACATACTGTAAGATCTTATCTTGTCCATCTAAAGTTTAATTTTGGTTTCAAGACAATTTTGACAACTGCATTTACAATACATGGCAATACACTTTGGAAAGAAATATCATAGTTAATGTCTTTCCATATAGTGATACATACTGCAAATACCATAAATTATATTTTGCAATATTGTCAATATAAGAAAGTTGAGTCATGAAAGGTCCAGAAAGATAGATCATTATATCATCGGTGTGTTACATATCTATTCTCTAAGGTAACACTGACTAAAAATAATAATTTGTCTTCACCCTCTTTCATAACATTTGAAGTAAAATGTTTGTTTTAATATAACTATTTTATGACTAAAAGTTTAAGATTCCCGGCAGGCAGTTTATAATAGTTTTAGAGGAATAAACGCTGCTTGCATATAATATGAGAATTATATAATCCATATTAAAATTCATATTGAAATCAAATGCATTTTAGTATGGTTTTGGGCAGAAAAACATTTTTAGAATTACAAAATCCATTCTGATTTATGCTTTGGTTGAAGAGATGTGTTTCAAAACAGCTTGTACTTGAAAGGATCAGATTCTTCAAATACTCCCTTTAAACATACATGTTGAAACAGAAAGATTATGGTAGACAGAAAGTTATCCATATGTAATCAGACAATCATATTAACACTAGTATACCTACACTTGAAATAAAACAAACCAGAAACATATCACTATGAATTCATTTTATATACTCATTGGTGGCTTTTTACATGACATATATTATATGTTTGTGGCCCAAAATTAAGAAAACCTTTTGGAATACAGGTATTCCTCATTTTACGACCAAAATTGAGACCAAAATTTCTGTTTTTAAGTGAGACATTTTAAAATGAGTTTTTCCCCATTTTATGACCTTCTTTGCCTCAGTTGTTAAGTGAATCACTGCAGTTGATAAGTGAGTAACCCGGTTGTTAAGTGAATCGGGCTTTCTCATTGACTTTTCTTGTCAGAAGGTCGCAAAAGGGGATCATATGATCTTGGGACACAGTAACCATCATAAATATTGCCAAGCAAGTGAATTTTGATCACATGATCATGGGGATGCTTCAAAGGTCAAAGGTTGTAACTGTGAAAAAGGGTCATAAATCACTTTTTGTCCAGTGTCGTAACTTTGAACAGTCATTAAATGAATTCTTCTAAATTAAGGAGTACCTGTATGGAATAACCAATCTAAATCTCAGTTTTCATGACCTGAAAGAAACCTTTCTTTTTCTTTTCTTTTATAACAATGAACATAAAATGGCTTGCACGACTTTAATTCAAAAGCTATTTCATTTGTGGCTAAAGAAGAAAATATTAAACGTGCTATGCGAAACGAAGCCACTATTTCATGAATGAGAATAAGTAGGGTATTTATATTGTCAATAAAAGAAGCTTTTGACTGTTAACATTATTGCTGGTTTGGCTGATTAAGCAAATATTAAGCTGATTACAATGCTTTTTATGTAACAGTGACAGAAACTGAAGTAAACATTTATCATGGTTCTAAATAGTCATTCTAATCCAAGTGCATTGTTGTTGAAAACCCTCTTGCTTAATTTCAATATTTTTGGAACAACAAGGAGGCATTTAGCAAATGATCTCAAAGTTATTGAATCATCAAATCAGTTTAAAGACTAGAGAGACAAGAACCTTTAAAAAAATGTATTTAATTTCCCTTTGGAGGTAGACAGGATAAACCTTTTGGCTGTTACAACTAATATCATGGGGTTTTGTTTTTTTTTTTGGTTTGGGTTTTTTTTTTTTGGTTTTCCATGTAGAAGAAAATGTTACTATTTGGCTGAATCCAAAAAGGAGTACATTTTCATTTGTATAGCTGTGTTCTTCTATTCCTCCCATTCTGTGTTCTCCTTCTCTCTTTTTATTCCTTGACATGGTTTCTTACTTCTCTGTCTGGGAAGTTGTAGAGGAACAAGAGAGGAAAATTACACAGAATTTAACCATTGCTTCCTTATGTGTGCCTGATTTCTAGTAAGACTGGCATAATGAGTTCTGGACATCGAAATATGCATTGCTGTCACCCAATGTACAGTTTTAGTGGACCTGACCACATTTCCTTTTTACCAATTAATTTGCCTTTTTGTAAATACTGTATTTAGGATTGAATCATCAAAATACACAATGAAGCCTAAAATAGTTTATATTCCAGGTCAAGACTACCTCTTGTAATTAAAAAGGTAGTTTCCTTTTTCTATTTCTACCTGAACAGTACTATATTTCCTAAAGAAAATAAAAACTGTGGTCACATAATAGCAATGGCACTTGGACTTATATACAGCTTCAATAGCGTCTTACAGCATTTTCTAAGCTGTTTACAAGAGTCAGCATATTGTCCCCAAAAATCTGGGTCCTCATTTAGAATAGAATAGGAGAGTTGAAACGGACCTTGGAGGTCTTCGAGTCCAACCTCTGCTTAGGCAGGAAACCCTACACCACTTTAGGCAAGTGATTATCCAACATCTTCTTAAAAATTGCTCCACTGGAATGCTCCAGTGTTGGAGCATTCACAACTTCTGGAGGCAAGTTGTTCCACTGATTAATTGTTCTAACTGTCAGGAAATTTCTCCTTAGTTCTAAGTTGCTTCTCTCCTTGATTAGTTTCCACCCATTGCTTCTTGTCCTACTCTCAGGTGCTTTGGAGAATAGCTTGACTCCCTCTTCTTGGTGGCAGCCCCTGAGATATTGGAACACTGCTATCATGTCTCCCCTAGTCCTTCTTTTCATTAAACTAGACATACCCAGTTCCTGCAACCGTTCTTTATATGTTTTAGCCTCCAGTCCCCTAATCATCTTTTTTTTTTTTACCTATCCCAATCATTTTTTTCTGTTCGTTATTTAGGATTTGTTTTTTTGTACCAATGACTTCCCAAAACGTTGATGAACTTATGTAGTCAGTGCTCTGTGATCCAAGTGCACTTCTCCAAGCGGCATAATCAAGCAGGTGCATACGTTATTTTGTTAATGTGAGAAGTAAGGAACACACACACATGTGTGGGTGCTGCACACACTCAGAGACAGAGTGAGATAAAACAAAAGCAGAATTCCATTTAGAGCTCAGTCATACAGATACCTGATACCGCCGAGCTTTGCAAAAGATTTATAATCCTGTAATGCATGAGTTGTGCTGACAGCTCAGTTATCACAGCTAGTCATTGCTCTTTCATGCTGCATGAAGTCCCATTAATAGCTGTCAGCGCCTCATTGCCCAAACTGAAAGTTGCAATTTGACACTCCCATCCCTGTGCCACTCCCTCCTCCCCCCAATCCTTCTTCTCCTGTGAATTTTATATGCCTCGGGTACAAAGGTCAGCATTCAGATTGTAAGGCTGGAATTTAGCTGCTGTGTCCATTGATTTATTACAATGGTTCTCTGCATTGCTCTGAAGCTTCTTCTGCTCCTGTTCTGTAAACCAAACAGCAGAAGCTAAAGGGATACAAATGATATGATTTATCAGGTCAACATACATATCATCTACTCATAAGGCAATGCCAAGAGAATAAAAACTGGACACATTCCAGTAGAGAGAAATTCCCTCAGAATGGGCTCCAGCATGAGTCCAAAAGCTTAAAAGACTAAACCTCTGGTTGGGTCAGGAATGACCCAAATTGGATCCTGTAGAATAAAAACTGGTGAAAATCAGTAATTTGGGTGATACAGTCTTAGACTTTTAAAATCTGTAATGCTGATTTGTGAATTGGCAGTTGAAGGTAATTTTCTAAAATTGTGATTTTTTTTTTTTAAAGTTATTTCATTCTGTTTATGCCTTAACATTACGGGGAAAAAATGGCTTTCAGTGTAATGACTCATACGTTTTTCATTAATATAGTTTTGTCCCATATGCATAAATTGAACTATATATATAGCTCAATTGAGCTATATACAGAAGCATAAATTGAGCTATATACAGAAGCAACATTACAACATTTGTGTTATGTTTTAGTGGGAAGAATTGAAGCAACACACAAGGGGTCAAATATAGCTGAATTTATGAATCGACTAATATAGATCTACAAATTTTATTAATTAGAGTGAGCCAGCTCAGTACCCTCAGCACACATAACTATTTTATTATAACATTCAGCCTTGTTGTTTTAAGGAAAGGCACATGTCGGAAGTACTGTACATAGAATTACTGTATGGCTATACGGTGTTTCCCCAAAAATATGACCTACCTTGAAAGTAGGTAGGTTTTTTTTATTTTTACATGTGTAAAAATTTTACAATATAAGCCCTACCCTCCAAAATAAGGCCTAATTAAGACGCCCTCCCACACCAGGTGCACAGGTAAAAATTAAGCTAGGATGGGGATGGGGTGTGTGTGTGTAACTGCAGTACTACTTACCTTTGGACAGTTACAGCGATGCCTCACTCACCCCAACACCTGTCTTGCTGGCCCATTTCTCTGCAGCTGGCAAGGCTTTCCTGAAGGCCTCTGCAGCCGATAACAGAACCAATCCGGAGCTCTGTTATCAGCTGCAGAGGCCTTCAGGAAAGCCTTGCCAGCTGCAGAAGAAGTTCCTGAAGGCCTCTGATAGCAAAAAGGAGGCCAGGGGCGATGCGCACAAGTGAGGTGAGTCAGTGGACAACATCTCCCCCTCCCCAAAAATAAAACCTGGTGCCCTTTTTGGTGACAAAAAATATAAGACAGGGTCTCATTTTTGGGAAAACTCAGGTAGTACAGAAAATTTCTCCTTTTTCTCCCATCAAAGTAAAACCCGGGATGTTCCTATTAATCTCAACATTACTATATAGATAATGTGAGGTATTAAAGAGTTCATTTGGCGGAAGCCTCCCTCTCTGTCTTCCTTGCTAATTACTAATGCTCAGTTTCTATTTGTGCCTTATTCCTACTTGCAGACTTAAAATATTCTTCTTGTATTCTACTTTTTTTTATTAAAAAGCAACTTTTGTTCTCTGTCATTTTAGGATTTGATACCTATTTTACATCCCGCACATTGGAAAACAACAGAAGAAATGTATGGTTTGCAGAATATTGGGAAGAAAACTTCAACTGCAAGTTAACAATTAGTGGGTCAAAAAAGGAAGACACAGATCGTAAATGCACTGGTAATTTCATTCTCAGTCTGCTTTTTTAAAAAAAATTACTTGACTTTTATGGGAATTTCTGTGTGTCTGTTACAAGGAAACTCATTTAGACTGAAAAGTGAGAATAGAAAGTGGAAAAAAGAATTAAAAAGTGAAAAATTAATTTAAAAAATAAAAATGAAGCAAGGATATAACGTGCAAGAACAGGAAAAAGAATTAACTAAAATATATTTGTTCTCTTTATCTTGTGATAATTGATATTTTTCAAAGGGGTTTTTTATCAAGAAAAGGGGGTATATTTTGAAAGATTTATTTATACAGTTATCTTATGGATGGTGTATTCTTTATGAACAGAACAGAACAGAACAGAATCCTTTATTGGCCAAGTGTGATTGGACATAAAAAGACAAGATATATTCATCAAGAATCATAGGTACAACACTTAATGATAGTCATAGGGTACAAATAAGCAATCAAACCATAATTGGCTTTAATTGGGTTATTTTAAATTGATGGCCAAAATTATTTAATGTTTTTTAAATTGTTTTTAAATTTTATATGTTGTGTTTTTACCATGGCTGTTCACCGCCCGGAGTCCTGTTGGAGAAGGGCGGTATACAAATTAAATAAATAATAAATAAATAAATAAATAAATACTAGGAAACAATCAATATAAATATAAATCATAAGGGTAGAAGCAACAAAGTTACAGTCATGCAGTCATAAGTGGGAGGAGATGGGTGATAGGAATGATGAGAAGACTAATAGTAATAGTAATGCAGACTTAGTGAATAGTTTGACAGTGTTGAGGGAATTATTTGTTTAGCAGAATGATGACATTTGGGAAAAAACTGTTCTTGTGTCTAGTTGTTTTGGTGTGTAGTGCTCTATAGTGTCATTTTGAGGGCAGGAGTTGAAACAATTTATGTCCGGGATGCGAGGGGTCTGTAAATATTTTCTCAACCCTCTTTTTGATTCGTGCAGTATACAGGTCCTCAATGGAAGGCAAGTTGGTAGTAATTGTTTTTTCTGCAGTTCTGCAGTTTTTCTGCTAATTATCCTCTGAAGTCTGTCTTGTTGGATTCATCTTCTTATCCTAAAACTGAAGCATCCTTTATGCTTCTTATTGTAATTGTGATAATGATCCTACAAAACAGGTGTGCAACTTCTCTTGATTAAAGGCCATTTCTGATCTTTCAATGATATACGAGGGTGGATGAAACCAAGACCTCATACATTAAATTTGTTTCAATTCACTGAGATTTCAGTTCATTAAAGGTGCATCTTTAATTGAGTTGAATAGGCCTATTCTCCAAGCATCTATTTGAATATTTTCAACCACATCAAGAATTTCTGCCAAGCTTCAGAGGGTCTCTGGGAGTTGTGATCTAAGAAACTTACTGCCTTAGATTGTCCTCTTTTTTAACAGAAAGTGTTTCAAAGACATAGGTCTATACAATAAATGAATGCCAGGATAGGTAAGTTGAGAGCAAATTAAAATAAGAGCAAACCCCTCCCTACCAGCACTGATGATATTACCTAGTTTGGGTAATGAAATGTCTACAACAAAACAACCAAGCTTAGAGAGCATCAAGCACTCATCATTTCAACTCTGAGCTACAAATATTCTCCTGTGTCAGCAAATCTACACTTTTTGTTTTCCATAGTGAGGATGGGGTAAAGGTGTTCAATGAATAGTTATGAGTAACCTTTTCTTCTATGCATTTGTCTGATCTTCTGTTTGTAAGTATCTTGGCTGGTGGCCATGACTTGTTTCTTTACAGAAAGCAATATCACAACTGAACCTTTCTGAGCTCATTTTTAGGGACACGGTGGCTCAGTGGCTAAGACACTGAGCTTGTCGATCGAAAGTTCGGCAGTTCAGCGGTTCGAATTCCTAGTGCCATATAACAGGGTGAGCTCCTGTTCCTTGTCCCAGCTTTTGCTAACCTAGCAGTTCGAAAGCATGTAAAAAATGCAAGTAGAAAAATAGGGACCACCTTTGATGGGAAGGTAACAGCGTTCTGTGTGCCTTTGGCGTTGAGTCATGCCGGCCACATGATCACGGAGACATCTTTGGACAGCGCTGGCTTTTTGGCTTTGTAATGGAGATGAGCACCGCCCCCTAGAGCCGGAAGAGCTCCCCCTAGAGCACATATGTGTGAGGGGAACCTTTATCCTAGCTCAGAATACGCCATTCTTGGTGGATATCAGGTTGGAAAGGCTTATCAATTATTTGATAATATTTAAATTTCTTTTGCTGGCCACATGGCTTTCTTCACAACAGGACCAATATCTTCTCCCATTAGTCTAATTTATGGAACTGGGATCTACCATGTCAAGTATTAATCTTAGATACCAACCTAATTAATAGCAACATAATTAATGCAATTCTTCTTAGCCTGTTGAGATCAGCCAGGTAATACTGGGTTGTAATTTTTGCTTCCTTAAAAATTGTTTAAAGATCAGGCAAAATGAAAGGGAGAGTAAAAATGACACAGTCAAAGAATGAGATGGGAAAGGAGAGATCAGATTCATCTTCATTGCATAAAGGGAATGAGAGCTTTAAGACTTTACTCTATACTAAAAATGCCAGATGGGTACTTAAAGTGTATGAGTACTCAATTACTATAATGTTTAATTCAGCAGCACTTCCAGGAGGTAAAAAAAAAAATGTAGTCTAAATATGCAGATTTTTTTCTGCAAGATTATTCTGCCAAGGGCATGATCATTTCAATGTAAAAAACAAACAAAAAATTAATTGTTCAGAAATCTGGAAGACTTAAGGATCACACAATCCGGCAAGATATCAAAAAGGGTGATAATCCTGTAAAGTTAAGGTAATTGCTGTATTTGTATAAAATAATTAGTGGAATGGCTTGTGATTACTCAAACTGGAAAAACAGAATAAAAGTAGTTGCATGAAATTAAGGAAAGCAAAAAAAAAATAAAAAAAATAAAAATACAGCTAGATTCTTTTTAGATGTCATCATGATTGCTGAATAATAATAATATAGTCTAGATATCTAGCTGACAGTGACATCAACAATATTTATATTATTATTTAGTAAACAACTACTACTACTATTTTTTTATTAAAAAAAATGCCCAAAATATACCAGTAGTCTTGGGGTTATGACCACTTATTCAGCAATTGTTCAAAGTTACCACAGTGGTGAACAGTAGTCATGTGATCAGGATTCCCATTTATGTGATATATGAAATAAATACCCCTCTCCCTTTTTCTCTGCATGGAGTAGGACTACTTCTATCACCTCACCTGATGCATTAGTTTGCACAATGCTAGTGAACTGAAAGAGATAACAAATCTCTTTGTAAGATTGGTATCTAGACATTCTTCAAGGATTGCTAACTCCCATATAGACATGGGGTACTGTTTCTTTGCTGCGATTTGGATTCCTGCATTCAAATTCCCCTCAATGAATAGTATTGCCTGCTTAGCAGCTACTTCCTTCCAGAGGCTCGGTACAAAGGTCATTTTGGTACAATCAGTGGCAAATTCCACCAGTCTTCCAGCCATAAACATTCCATACCAAGTGACAAATGAAATTGATGGAATTGATCTTGACTCCCTCCAAATTTCTCTAAAAAGCTTCCATGGGAAGATAAGTGCATTGGTTGAGCTGCTATCTGTTCTGAGGCCATGGGGTAAGACAAATTCTGCCCCAATTGCTGTGTTAGTTGTATCATGGCATTCTGTAAATTGGTCATCTGCCCATCTACTTGCTGTTGGTTCTGTAACAGTACAGCTGCCAGATGCTCAGTGGTTAGTGGGGTTCCTTGAGGATGGGAAGGCTGTTCTTGAAATTCTTCTTTTTAGAAGAAAGTAGGAGGCAAGATTGATGTCAGCACTTGCGGACAAACCAGATGGGAAACATGATTAGATGAGGTAAATCTACATTATTATAAAACTACATTAACAGAATCTTGAAAGCCTGAAAATACAAAACTTCCTGCTGGAAGGTTCTTACCATTTTTTTTTGTTCCGACTGTGAAGCCACTGGGGGCTTCTGCCTCACTTGTCTGATTATTTCCTAGGCAGCATCTCTTCCCCACTTTCCCCAAGGCCACTCCCACATTCCATTATACTTGATTTTGGAGAATTCATAAATATTAGAAGTTGACATTTTGAGGCAAGTGGTGAAAAGAAGAAATAAAAAGGTTTCTTTTTTGCATGGCATGGAAGAGCCACTCTCCAAAAGATGGATAGAGTGAGGACAACAATTAAAATAAATTATTTTATTAAATTAATTATGGATAATGCTATAATTACTCCACATGTGTTCAATCATTTTCCCTTTATGCCACATTAAAGATTAATCCAGTGGAAAATAGGAGACAGTCACAGAGTACAAACAGAGTTTTGGAACTGTACTTGTATTTTGGAAGCTTTCGAATATGAACTTTGCTTTTAGAAGATAGATTACAGGAATACTGGTTAATTTTTGAGCTATGACAAAAAAAAAAAACAAAAAAAAAAACTATCCAGGATTAATCCTGATGTATTTCAGGACATTTATTTGTTGTCACTAATCATTAATTTGCTATTTCATGGCATAGACATAGGATCCTTTCATACTGAATGATAAAACGATAAAAGGTTTTGAAGAATTCCAATTTACCTATCATTAATCACTCTGATCAGTCCTGCTCTCCTTGTGTCTCAAGCAGTAAACCAAGCAACTTTCCTATCAGGTATTTGTCATGAAGCAGAAATTTTGGAGAGTTTCTTTCACAACAAGCCAAAGTGTAAAGCCAAAAATAATAAGGATTTCAAACACTTGAATACTACTATATACTATTAATAGTATATATACTATATACTATTCTGTGTGGATCTGGCAAGCCACTGAGAGTTCTACTAGTGGGTTTGAAATCAGTTATAACAATTAACCACCAGTCACATTGGACTGATGGATAAAAACACAGGTTTTTCAAAATCCTCCAACCATTTCTCACGAGCCTTAAGAGTGATAGGAGGATCATGACTAGGAAATATA